AGTAACGAGTACAGTACTAATCAAATTGCAGTAAAACAGAACGATTCCAAAATTCTTTTAAAAAGAATTACTACTCCGCTAAACGGTACACTACATTTCGTCGGGCGCATCTCCGCGATGCGCTGTATTCACACACGAGCACGTAGTGACACATCTCTCACGTTCAATGCTTCCCCGCTCTAATCGGCTTCATCGTTTTATTTCAGCCCGGCTAAAATATTCCCATGGGGATATCATGTACCGCTGTGCTCTTACCGCCTGTTTTTAACAGTGTGAGCGCACATATTCGCGGACCGAGAATGCCTGAAATTATTTATCGCACGACGATGACCCACAATCGTTCTCAACGATTGCGCTCGGCGATTATCGATCAATCGGTTTCCTTTGATCGTTTAGTGAGAATCAGCAAGAGCCGATGCAAGTCGATATATCTCAGAAAACGTGATTTCGATGTAATGAAACATGTCATGCCTTTTTTCTTCACCGCACAGAAAAAACAACTCCATTAGTGTCACTGAGTTTTCCGTTACTTGGGGACCTGATAAAAACTCGCATAAGAAGGTTCCTGTAGAAAATTTCTGTCAGAGTTATTAATGAATTATCTTCGATAATTTTGAAACTCGAAGCTTCGGATGAATTCCAAGCTACGAATTTTCAAATTTTGATAAGCCGAAGCCTCGAAGGTATATACTTCAACGCAGTCGCAAACTTCGTGCTTCGAAAAACACAGCTTTGAAAATGCTGCAGACCAATTTTTTACTCAGAAAATATTGAGCAATTTTGTAAATAAACTTCGATAAATAAATAAGTAGATATATAATTAGCATCATGTATGCTGTATGCTGTATGATTCTCTAGAATAAAACTTTTTACTATTAAAATTTAGCCTTTCACACACGTACATATAAAGTCGAAACTAATATAATTAGAGCCATTATAATCTTATAATTGTAAGTAATTCTGTAATTTTCAATTTTATGCGTTATATGCAAGACTGAAAATTGTACAATCCTTCGTCGAGAATGGTACAACATACATGACGCCGACTGTACCAGATATTATATAATCTTTTTTTGTAACGAGAATTATGTTTTTCTCCATTTCTTATTCTTATGTTTTTTTGCATTTATATTCTTAAATAGCTGTAAAAAACGTAAAATTTGAAAAATCTTACAATATATTAAGCTTCGAAGCTTCAGTATTTTCAAAATTCAGATACTAAACACCAAGGTTTGAGATCTTCAAGGTAACCAAATGTCGAGCCTGGATAGAAAAAACCACGTTTAGGTTTCTGTTCAGTCAATCGCTCTCAGTTACTTCGACCATGTTTTTGCACAGTTGAATATTCAGACGAGTGTTTTCGGTCCCGGTGACAGATATACCATTCACATCGTCATCGAGCAATTTTCGTCTGGTACCCCCATTCAATCCCATTCCTCTACCAATTCCCATTCGGTCACACGAATTGAGATTTTCTTCTGTGCAAGAGAAGTCCGGGAGTGGATAAATTTGTGCGAATTAAGCGTCCTGTCTCTCCGAATCAAGCTGGGCGTGACTTGCATCGCGCAGCACGAAGTTGTACGTGTCACTAGTGACCACTGGAGTCATCCCCTTGGCAACTATGGGTGAAGCAAGGGCACTTTCGGACAATTTTTCGAACAGGGTAATCTCACACTCTCCTCTCTTTTGTTTTAAAGCGTATTCGCTCTGTCGCAGAGTCGGGCGAGCGCGAGATCGCGATTGATTGTTTATTACTATTGCGACTGCAATTTCCGTGAGCGGGAAGCGCACGCTGGTAGTTTCGGTTATTTTGGACGTAATCGCAAAGAGGATATTCCCCGCGATTTTTGCCGGCTCGGTTTACACATTCGGAGAAAAATACGTAACCGTGGCAACTATAAAGATGACAACTGTACGAGTTTTTTAATGTAGAATTAGTGAATATAGTTTAATAAGCTAGTTTATAGTTATTGCAATTAAATCTGACTAATGTGTAACATAGCATCAATTATAGTTCTCAATAATTATAGTTATCGTAATCGTTATTGTATTTAGATTTAGTTGCAACAACTGTAAAATACTTTATTAAACTATATATATTAATTCTCCATGCACAAAATTCGTATAGTTATATAGTTGTCACTTGTGTTACTATATTTTCTTCGGAATGCACCATGGAGTTCCATATAAATCTCCTATATGGATTATCACCTGGTTCTTTTCTTCTTTTCAACAGTTTTCCGTCCGGTAAGACGATTATTTACTCCAATGCGCCACGCGAATAATCACGAGCGATATTAACAAGCATCGAGTCGTGGAATCAAAATCCCGAGGAAAAGAGAGTGCTTGCCACCTTCAAACGAACGATAAAATCGCCTTTACTTAACTATATCGCGAAATAATACCTTCCACTTATATAATCAATCATACAACTCGAAAGTTCGCCTCAGGGAAAATCATGGCCGGAGATTGGCTCTCCTCTACGTCCTATACAATGAATAAATCGCTTCTCGAGTCTATAACAAATCCGATAATAAATATAATACAAATATATAAGAGAATGTGTATAACGATATATCGTCGTATAATGTCGGAAAAAAGTCAAGAACCATTGGTCAGTTTCCCTTTTCCTCCTTTACTCCTAATTCACAGCGGACGATAGATAAGTGATCGCGACAGTGATATATAATCGTATTTATATACGCATCTTTCTACGGATTAAGCTGCCTTTGCATGTTGCGAATTGCATAGGGATGCAACAGCAAAAAGCCTGGCCGGAAATTTGAATGACTTCGACTAGCGACGAACTAGCGGCGGCGCTACCACTATTACTCTCTTACGGAACTCTCTTCTCTTCTCGTTTGTTATAACTCGGGGAATTTGAAAGTCCGCATCACTCGTATAATTGAACTCGCGCGACTGACTGACTAGATTTGGGAAGCAATCCGACGGAGCTTTGTTGAGTGTCTGTGTCGGGTCGTTTGCTTGCCAAAATGAAGATGTGAGTTTCATCAACGTCTGCGGGATATTCCGTTGCATACGCGCGAACACGAATGTTCTTCCTCGTTCTCCTCACAACTTAGAACTGTGGTCGCAGCTTACACGGCGATTGAGAAAGAGAAACAGAAGCAGAGAGAAAGAGGGAGGGAGAGAGAGAGAGAGAAAGAGAGAGAAAGACAGCAGCAAAATAATATCCCAAAATCTCGACACACAAACGGGTGAAAATGAAATTGAACCGTCAATCCGCCAATGACGCGTTTAAGAACGAACGAAAAAAATCCTGGAAACGAACTAACGGAAAAAAAATAGTGAAAACGTACTAACAAAATACATTGTCCGGGGATAGAAATGAGAACACAATTGTTAACGTTCCGTTACCTGTTCATTTTATTGTTCTTAACAGACGTCGATGAAATTCGCACAGGACTAATTGCGTGTTTTTTTCTTTTTCTTCCTTTTTTTTTTTACTTAGATTCAGTCTCACAGACCACTGCGTTTGCCGTATTATTAATTCGTGACTACATTAATACAAAATATATTTTATTATAATTTATGTCGTTAATTAATCATCATAATAATATTTATAGCTTTTTACGCTGTGTGGTGGCCACGAATACCCGGCGTCCGTCTCGTTTCCCGTTCGGTTCTCGGATTATAAAGACAGGCATAAAGAGAAAAAGAGAGAGGACGTGGGTAGTGGGGAGAGGAAGAGGATGGAAATCCTCAGGGTAACGGGAAGTTGCCGCGGCGTCGACTTGAAGAATCAAGATTGATTAACCGCTATCAAAGTTGATTTTCAAATTGCCGACGAGTTACGGAGGGACAGCGGAGGAGGATGGGACACAGGACAGGGAGAGGATGGGGAGAGAACGGGGATCGGGGTTTTTGGCCTAAATAGACATATTTACACGAAAGGCCGAAAGGACAGTTTTGTCGCAATAAGCGTATTCCGAGAGGTAATTTCGTTATTCGATTTTAACATGAATTTCGCGAGAGGAGGGGAAGGGCGGNACCCAAACGGGTCGGGGATAAACGCCGCGTTTGGGGACCACCCTTCTACAAAAGATTGTTTCATACCCATTCACGAAGAATTTGTTATCCTAATATTCAGTTCTATAAAGCGCTACTATCCTAAAATTTAATGCAATGTGTTTGTGTACATATTCGTGTATATAATGTATACATATGTCTGTCTCTCTCTCTCTCTCTGTGTGTGTGTGTGTGTGTGTGTGTGTGTGAATGCGTGTGCATATGTATATATACGTGTGTGTGTCTGTGGTATGTGAGAGTTACATATTCGAGTTAACATCTTCACTTCTTCGAATTATTTGAAAGTTTACCACTTCAAGACACGACGCGCAGGCGCTACGCTCGACGATAAGGTAAATAAATAATCGATGAAAAAATATATTATTAAAAAGTAGGTACGAATGGGGGAGGGGGGACTGGGAAGAGGGACGAGGGGTTTTGGTACTCTCTCTCTTTCGACGAATAATAATACATTGCGTAAATAATTTTTCTCTCGCGTCCATACCCTGCACACTCCAGCTTCCGCCGATTCGCGCGCTTCTTCTTTTTTTTGTTTCTTTTATCTTACACAACTTTCATATTATTACTTGAAAAAACGTTACTTCTGAAGAACCTCCATATAAATCTAGAATGCACGACAACGCTCGCATCCGGTGACGCTACATTCACGAAACTTCACACCACCGATTTCTTCTCGCTCCAAACACGTGTTACTAATCTCGAATATAAAATTAATCGTACAATTTAGAATATGCATATACATATATATATATATATATTTTTTTTTTTAATTTAAATAGACTTCTTTTGTGTTTTACGGCTTGACCAACCTCGTCTTCGTTACGTCTCCTTATTTCTCGCCTCTTTTTTTTACAAGTACACACTCAACATTTCTCTCTTTCTCTCACTCTGTCTTACACACACACACACACACACACACACACACACACACACACACACACACACACTCTCTCTCTCTCTCTCTCTCTCTCCCTCTCTCGCTCTCATTCTTTCTCTCGCTTTTCCTCTTGCTCTTTCTCTCGCTCCATTATTTCAATGTTTACGTTCTCCTTAGCATAGAGCTTTACAGTAATTAATCGAACTTCATTTCCAAATTTGTGTTAACCAACAAATGCCTCGCGCAACTGAAACGTCTGTAACATATGAGATCATATCTGCCGGGGGACATGCTTTCGGATCTTTCGACGCGCATCGTAATACCAAGAGAATCCGCGAGCGTGTTCCCCGGTCCTCGATATACGCACGCGTCGAGGATCCCTTACGCTAATCGTATTGTGTCTCCTAGATTCATTAAAGTATGTGTGTGTGTGTGTGTGTGTGTGTGCGTTCGTGTGTGTGTGTGCTTTCCACTTCGTACCGTCGCATTGATTTGCGTCGTTTTCACGGCTCGTGAACGGCGAACCGTGATGGAAAACAATTTTGTAACATAAGGCGCGATGCGCTCTCGACGCGCCTCCACGTGAAAAAGAAAAAAAACCTATGCTATTTACCTTCCTCTTGCCTCATTGACGAAGTTGCCTCGCTTAATTTCAAACACCCTGGACTCGGGAATAAATCATGACACCTGAACGCGTTACTTGGAATCGCCCAACGCTCCCTCGAGCGATCTCGATCTTGTCTGACAAAGCTTACGGCTAATAAACGGAACACGAACGCTTCGTACAACCCTTCTCTTCTCTTTCCCTCGACTCGACTCCGATTCTCCTTCGTCGCTTAAGCTCGTCATCGTCGTCGTCGGGCTACAAACGTCGTGGTAGCTAGTGCTCCGGCACGGTTCACCCTGTCGCGCATTCTCTTCGGAAAAAAGAAAACAACTAAACGGAAGAGAGATGCTTTGGTGGGATGCAACGCGCGCCAAAAAGGAGAATACGATAAAATAAAAGGTAGAAAAGGGTGGGGGAGGGGGAGACCACGCGTTTAATCAATCTTACTTGCACACTTTTTCTCTCTTTCATTCTCTCTCTCCCTTTCGTTCGATTTTCTTCTCTCTCACGCACCCCCCCTCTCCCTCTCTCTCTCTCTCTCTCACACACATACACATGCAGAAAGACTGAAAATTTCATGTTCGTGTTCCTCTCGTATTGCTGACGCATGGTAGCGCGAATTGTATCGTATTCCACGACGACAATTCGACCTCTCTCTCGCTCATATACTCTCTTACACTCTCGCACGTACATAACACATACACGCACCACTCATACGCGTGCGCGTAACCGCGCTTTTCCTCCTTCCTCTCTTCGCGGAATTAACCTGGTAACGACGTCGATGTCGTCGTGTAGTTACGGTAAATCTAGTTGTTGTTGTTACACACGCACGATGCGTTCGCGCGCATGTGGACACGTAGAAAAATGGAAAGAACAAAAAAAACAGATTACACAATATCTTCGACCGTCTAGACGCACTTATCGCTAAGAATACCGGCGGTGCCGTGTGTGTGTGTGTGTGTGTGTGTGTGTGTCTCTTACAGGTGAAAAAGGGAGCGGAAGGGATGCGCGTCTAGACGACAAAATGGACCAAAGATCGACCCCGTCTCATCGAGCCGATCCTTACACGACTAACATAGTAACGCACGATTAAAAACATCGAAGAGGTTTCTGTTTCCGCGTGAGGATCGCTGTCGGCGGACATGGCGGCCGCGTTGCTCCTTCAATCGACGCCTGACCGCGCGCGCTGAGCGGAACACGGCAACGAAGAACGTGAAAAATCCAAAATGGTGGTGGCGATAATGATGAAGGAGAACGAATGATGATTTCGTACGACAGCGATCCTGCGGCTTCTCCTCCCGACTACTTCCGATTGTGTGTAACTCGCGCCCAAATTGGTCGTTCTTATTGTTGCACGGGTCAGCCGACCTAGTGACGTCAAACACATACAAGTCGCTCCGCATAGAAATAATAGCGACTCGAAGATGTCTCGACGGATGTCAGACGCTCAAGCATTCAACATTCTCATCTTCTTTCCTCTCTCCGCCTCCTCCTCCTCTAGCACTTCGTTTTCTTCTTCTTCTTCGCACGCTTGAGCAGCACCACCGAGTACCGGCAGTCCGGCTGCTGGTCGCACGCTACAAATCCCACTTGTTGTAACTGCAGAGACACAGGCTCCAGCAACCCGATCGTGTCGCGCGAACGTCGCGGCCGTTTCCGTCGCCGTCGCCGCCGTCGTCGTCGTCGCCGTGCTCACCCAGGCGGTTATCGGTGCCGTGGTGCACGAGTGTCATGTTGTCGGTGACGGTGACGGAGGCGATAGTGGGAGCGGTGAGCAGGCGATCGTCGTCGGCAACACCAGCGGGTCGCCGACTGTCCTATACTCAAATGCTCGCTGGATTGCCGCCGCACTCGGCCTTGTCGCTGAACCGCTGGCTGCCCTCGGGCGGCGAAGGGGACGCGCCGCCGTCTTCCGGCCTAGGCATTGGCGGCGGCACCCCGTTCTGCACGTAGTGGGTTAACCGGGTGGGCAGCGAGCCCGCGTTCAGCTGATAAAACTCGATCAACTGCAGCAGGTCGTAGAACTTGGTCGCCCCCTTATCCAAGGTGTACAGCAGGCAATTGCGACGCTCGTCGAAAACCTGGAAGAAACGGTCGACGGTGAAGATACGGGAAGATATGAGGGATCAGAGTCCTAGATGTAAATGAAGAAGCGTCGTGAAAAGGCTAGTCCCGACTGGCTATCTAAATTACGCATACACTGTATTATATTGGCGACTAAAGGCAGTACGATGTACTGGTAAGTTATAATATTTTTCTTACACTGGGTGTTCCGCGAGGAAATCGACAAACTTCTAGAATATGTCCTAAAGATCATTTTAAGTAAAAACAGTTCAGATACACAAGTCAATTCGGCTCAATTAGATCGAAATATGAGAAAATTCAATTCTTATCAGTAACACAAATTTTCGAGTGACAACGGCCATGTCTCGCTCTGCATTTCTTTTTGTGAGATAGTTTGAAATCTTATATATATATATATATATATATATATATATATATATAACGACTTATATTCTGTCAACTAATCGTTGACGGGTCTCTGGTTTATTGTCAAATATATATATCCACTAAAACTTTTGTGTTACTTTGACAAGGTGTGTACATAACATATTTGTGTTTTTTTTTAACATATTCCCCATATTAAAATAAAGAAAAATTTATAAACGGACCATTTGCAGGAAATTTTTTTATTATGTAATTATGTTATTTGTTGAAAATGTCCACCTTCTGTTTGTAAACATGCTGCTATATTCGTGCCACAGATCGCCACCAATTTATCTAAGTTTATGCGAATACTATCTACGACTTATATTCTGTCAACTAATCGTTGGCACGAGTATAGCAGCATATTTACAAACAGAAGGTGGACATTTTCAACAGATAATATAATTACACAATAAGAAATTTCCTGCTACAAATGGTCCGTTTTGCAACACACAATTTTTTACTGTATAAAAGAATAATATTCATCTACTAAAAGTTATAAATGTTCGATATTTTTCGCCTGTTACAATATTAATAAAATTGTTTATCCACGAGATCCTTAAAATATGAATCGCGACTTACTAGTTTTACAAATTTGAGCCGAGTATAAACTTGTTACGTATCCTCGTAACGTATCAATGTCATATAAATAAATCATAAAGTTATATAAATAAATAATCAATTTACTCCCCCCCCTCCCCCCGTTTTTTCATATCTACTCACTTTCTCAAAGCTAGATAGTTTGCAGTTCACACAAACTTGAGAAACCTTCATTTTCTACCTGCATTTCTTTATTTAGAATTATCTCTACAACACGTTCTAGTAATTTGTCGGTTTTCTTGTAGAACACTCTGCATAATTTTAATGTATAATGATAAAATAAAATCCTTTTCTGAAGTGTCAGATTAAGACTTTCGCATACGAATTACTGTAACCGTAAAAAACATAAGACGTGGATTTAGATTAAAGGACCAATCAAGATATCGTTTTAGATTTATGTATTCTCCAAGAAGATAGAACTTCCTTTCTCCTTCCCCCCTTCCCATCTCTCTCTTTCTCTCTCTCACCGAGGGGTAACTCCGATATATATGCCACATCTAAGGAAAATTTAATTTATTAAGTATTACTTATTAAGCGCGAACGGGGCTGTAACAGACAGACTGGTCTGTTATACTAGGGTTTTTCTCGAGTTCGCCTCTCAGTAGAACTAAAATACAGTAAGACTCCGCTTAACGCTGCTCCGCTTAAACGCAACAACCAGTATTCAGAAGGAGCAATGTCCGGCGAATACGGGGGGTGCGTTAAAATATCCCACTTGAGCGTTTCCAAATAATTTTTTACGACTTTTGCGACATGAGGCCAAGCGTTATCATGCAAAAGAATAACTTTGTCATGTCTTTGCTCGTATTCCGGCCGTTTTTCTCGTAATGCACAGCTCAAACGAATCAATTGTAGCCTACACCGATGGCCCGTAATGTAATCATTAGGTTGTAGCAGAGTAATGCCTCCAATTCTTTGTCTTCGAATTTTTTTGGCTCTTCAGAGCGAGGCTTGTCTTCATCGCTGAAATCACCATTCTGTAAACGTCGAAACCATTCCCTACATGATTTATCAATTGGAGCATTGTCACCATAAACTTCTACAAGTATTCGATGCGCTTCAGCTGCACTTTTCTTCCAATTAAAGCAGAAAACTGAAACCTCCCGCAAATGCTGCTTAGTTAACACAAAATTTGACGTATTCAACACAGTAAAAAGCAGGGGTTTTGCATGAAACTCAAAGCGATATAAACTGAATATTATTGACAGATGTCTAACCTCTCTGAATCCACCGAAATCAGCAGTCACTATGAAACATTCATAATAGCCAGAGCCATCTTTTGAAAACGGACGCAACTAATTTGTACTCCCAATAGTTCGGTCCGTTGACACGAGAAGCGCCTATAAGCGCTCGAATCCTGCTGCTCAAAATGAACTAAAAGCGCCTACAAACGTCCGTAAAATGTTATTGACAATAATTGCAGCAAAGCTCACTTGGATCATATGTAAGTCAATTCTAATTCATGCTAATACTTTCTTAGAAATGCACGCTGATGCAAAATTCTGCCGTTCTCAATGTAGGTTGCAATTGACCTTCGCCACATGCCACGTGCGGTACGTATCAAAGTCTGCTGTAGCCAAAAGATTAACAGGAAAACTTTTAGAAACCCTTGTATTTCTGACATATATCCTACAGGAATGAGATATACGCCTTATATAAAATTTACAAATAATACTTATAAATAAGGAATAAAATGATATAATGTTATGATATAACTTATGTTAATAAATATTGTATAAATGTTGTATAAGTGTCGTATAAAGTGTAAAATGTATAAAAAGTTTATTAGGATGTAAAAATGAAAAATAAATACATGAAAAGTAATAGTAAAAGTAATTTTTAAATATTTAACATAAAAGTTCTGTCTTACAGATATTATTGCAATAATATTTGCAATATTTATCATATAAATAAAACCTGAAATGCCTCCTCACAGAGCGTCTGTACTGCGGCATAAGGCTTGATTTACAATATACTCTTTGTTTCTTGTTTTTTGCTCCCTATCTCTTTTTCATAAAGCCTAATCTACAATGTGCTCTTTATTTCTTGTTTCTTGCTCCCTATTTCTTTTCTATAAGTAAATAGAAGTTTTTACAGAAGAAAAATAGAGAGTAAAAAACAAAACGCAAAGAGCACATTGTAGACCAAGCTTTAATCTCTCGTGCTAAAAAATGCCGTATATCCCAAACAGGTAGGATATACAAGACATCAAGCTAAATAAAGAATACAAGAGCTAAGCACTTATATTTTGCATGTATTTTCCTATATTCTATTCTTCAATATCCCTCTACATTTATGTATCGCAAAATAATCATTAAGCTTTTTACATTCTCTTACAGTAATCATTTTAAGCAGGTCGGATTATATAATTGCGCTGCTTACTACATTGAGAAATGGACTTAATTCATGAGAGCTTCGTTAATGTTAAGAATAAAAAACTGAAATCATAACACAATATTAATACTACATAAAGGTATGTAACAAAGTGGTTGCGGGTAAATTATTTCTATTCTTTCTCTTTTCTGACTTCTGCAGCGTAAATTCTTACGCGACGTAAATACTGGAGTTACCTTAAATCTGATTGTAAGTAGAAGTAATCAGGATTGACTCGTTGAAATCCTAGTTACTCGGTCTAAATCTTAGTTACATGGCCACTTCCACCTTCTTCTAGAGGACACAAACTTAATGCAATATCCTGATTGGTTCTTCAACTTAAGGTTACGTCTTATGTTTTCGGTTATGCCAATTTATGTGCGAAAACCTTTATAATGAGAAGTTATAAAATATGGGAAGAGTATTTTTATTCGGACTGATTAATGAGGTTAATTTCTTGCAAGCCTGCAGCCTTCTTTTTTTCCTTAATCATTTTCTTTCTCTTACTACCTCACTAGCTTGCTCAGAGTATCACCATTAACATGATGTAAGAAAATAAGATGTATTATTTTCGAAGATACACCATCGTCTAATATGATGACTGCTCTTCCAATCAAAAATTTTCCCTAAATTGCCAAAAAAAACAAAATGCCTATTAACAGCAATGTGCGCTAAGGTTATCTTTCGTTTCTTACTAATAAATGTATGGAAGTAATTATTTATTATTTTATATTACATATTCTTATTAATTTATGAACTTTCGTATTGTTTTTACAAATTTTAGTTTTTCTGTTTGTATTTCTGTCATATATTTTCACTAATACTGTATTATTATATTTTACGCTAATTTTGGGACCAAAATTTTATTGGTTCTCCTACTGCCATCATTATGTGCAATAGTTCCCCTTATCTTCTTACATCAGAACTAGACAAAGTCTTATACAAAGAGAGAAGCGACATCGACGTTGCGATTTCTGATTCTTCCCCCACATCATTGAATCAGTCATTAGTGGAGTTATTAGTGGAGTAGATATGTTGCTATAAACTATTATATACATTTCATTACATAATCTTTTATTAAATAATCATTTACTATATAGCATAAATTTCAAATTAAGTTTACATTATTTGTTTATAGTCTGTGCCGTCTGCGGAGTTCTATGGAACTGGAACGGGTGGTCACATATGGCGGCACCTGGAACGGGGGCCCGATGTCGTGTCTCTCTTTATATAGGACTTTAAGCGTGACTATTCAGACAAGAAGACGACTTTCGATATATCATCAAACCTAATGTCGTTTCTTTATTTGTATTTAGGACTCTACGGAAAATATGTTACGAAGCATGCGCTTTCACGAGGAAGACGAGAAATGTGCGCTATAAATGTTTATGTCGCTGTACTGGAACGTCGGGAACGCCCTCGATGGGAATGGAGAAGGAGGGGGAGGGGAGAGAACGGAAGTTGTCCCTCGTCGAATCTCCACGAAATACTTCAAACATCGGTATTATCGCGTTAGACAACGCCGATGAGAACGGAATGTTTAATTCAGCGACTCCACTCGGCGAAATTAATTCAGATCGCGAACAATCGGACTTTTCTTCAGGCGTATCCCCCGGTATTTCGCCAACAATCCACCCAATAATCCGTGATCGCTCTGGACTTGAAAGTAAACAACTGGGGAAAACTTTTCCGCCTAGATGCGCTTAATCGCCACGAGGTTGCGAAGGATTCACCGCTTGTTGTTAATTATCGATCGATAGCGAGGGCATACTCACCGGCTGGATTTGCGCGTGAAAGACCTTGTCGCTGTACTTGTAAGTCAGCACGTAAGCTCCCGGATTGCTCTTGCTCTCTCTGACCAGGAACACGCTGCAACCGACAGAACGAAGGAGGATTTCGTGAGAACACTCTACGTCATGGCAAATATTTGTGTATGGGTTGTTAACCACGTCAACTTTATTTTAACTTGATCCACTACTCTCGTTAAATTTATTTCTCGATCGTACTTTAAAGTCGTGACGACCGTCGCGACAATTTCCACGCGGTCGAAATAAGTAACCACATACGTGACACGGCTGTAAAATTAAAATGCTGCACCGCGTGGTATCTGGTAAACATTCGTTTAAAAAGAATTATCACCATAGCGTATATCGTGTCGCGTTGCAACCTTCAGCATCACGCTGATGTCGAAATTTGATTACTTGTGCTACTTTGATGCTTTTAAGGTATCTACAATATATACCAGGATCTATAATATATTGTTACGCTCGCGCGGGGAAATAAAACGAGACAACGTTAAGTGGGAAACAACTTCAACTATATATTTGCTATTTACAAGAAAGCACGCGTAACTCGCAGACTCAAGCTCGCTCTCTCTCTCTCTCTCGAAAGACCGACGCACACGTCACGGCGACTCGACCGCCCCAGAGAGAATCTCTCAAACCCGTTGTTTATCGGTCAACGCTGATCATATGTTGTTTACGACTCGTTGTCAAGAGAATCAACTGGTACGTTCAGAGCGCTAAAAGCGCGGGCATCAAGACACGGGCATAACAATATAATATATACTAATACACGAATAAAGACTAATATACGAAAGAGATATATATACTGTAGATTAAAAATCTACTTTGACGATACTACCTTCGTTAATTTTTCTGTTGAACCTTTAATTCTTTAAAACTGTTAAGACAGAAGAAGTGCTAGATTCAAGTAAATAATTATTCCATTATCCTTTAATAAATTTTCACTTGAATTAATATGTATCGATTATTAAATATTCATATTCAAGTATTTTAAATAACCTATTTTAGAAAAGAAAAATCGAAAATTTAGAACATTATCATAGTTAAAGTAGGAGTAAGTTACATCATTAGAATCGAACTCATTGTGCTATTTTAGTGTCTACTGTGTTATAGAATTAAAGGTTTAACATAGGACGAAAATTATGACTCGAGTGGTTATTTAAAAATATACCGATGATTCGTATACATCTATGTACCCAGATCAACTCCCCTCTCTAAAAAAGTTAAGAAATGCTGACAGACGATATCCGCACGTACAGGACTACTCAGGAGATTTGGCTGGAAGGCCAATTTTGCGGGCGAATCAGGCACATCTAGCACCCAGTGGTGCCGCACCACTAGGAAGGACGACAAAGCAACGGCTCATCCGTGCGTATCGCCTGGTATGAATTAGTACGGTCGTAAAAAGCTACAGGACGAGTGAAACGGCTAAAGAAACTGCTGGAGGAGGGAAAGAAGGAGAAGAGAGAAAAAAGCACTCAGATTGGAGGAGGGGGAGGGAAGGAAAATGGAAATCAGGGGATACAACAATGATGACAGGATTGGTCGCGCGACTGGTCATAGCTATGATGATGTTGTAGAGAGATGAAAAGAGAGGGACAGAAAATAAGGGGAGAGGAGGAAGAAGGGAGAGGGGAGAAGATCGCGCGATTACTCAATGAAATTTTCGTCTAGGTGATTCGCGCACGTTCTCCAATCAAGCTTTCGTTCATATTACTCATATATTACACGGACGATAACGTGTTTGCACAAATGTCCGGTTATCGCCTCTTATCAAGCCCGCTCGTCCGATGGAATATTCATGCGAGCGAGTAGTCTGTGCGTCCGCGTATCACCGGCCGGACAGATAACACCGGTGCTGACGGTGGAGGTATGGAGGTGGTGATGACGGCGGTGGTGGTGGTGGTTAGAACTCGTAATCCTGGTAGAACGGTAATACCCGAGGACTGCCACCTCGAGTTAGAATAATGACGTTACGGCGTACCCGCGTTACAAAGGAGCCCGTGTCGCCAGAATATAGCGTTCCTCTATCTCGAGCTTACTACCCAAAACCTCAGCTATGTCGAGAGAGAGAGAGAGAGAGAGAGAGAGACAAATGACGATTAGCAGACAGCGCTCAGGGCGCAATCGATAGATAGAAAGTTTTTCGACGTTTAACGACAACAACTGTGACAAGAGACTCGGCTTAGAAAGACGGGGAGGGGGGGGGGGGAGATAAAGGAACTCGACATGAACGGGAGAATTCAAGAGGACAAGCTCGCGTCAGTTAGTAGGAAGACGTAGGAGGCGAGACCACTCTCAGTCTCTCTTTCTCTCTTTTCTCCTCCAACCTCTCTTTTTCCACCAACATCGCGGGGGAAAGAGAAGGAGAGAGCATGACGGGGGCGGCGAGGTGGCTACGAGATCGAGATTATGCAAATTTATGCAAGGCCCCTGAACGAAAAACCCGGAGACAACTACGTGATCCCCGAACACTCAATTACCCCGAAGGTAAGCGCGACGCGAGATAGATGGTGGAGAGTCGTTAATTAACCATTTATCCGCAATTGCTGGCATCGATTCGGTAAGTAAAAGATGAGATCGTGGAACGGGCGGGAAGGAGGGGAGGAGGGCAAGCGACAGACGCCAAGGTATGTTTCCCGACGATTGACAAAAAACCCCGCGAGTCGCGTCCGAAGAATCATCGCGCGAGGGATGATAGTCGTGACGAATCCACGAGACACAACGATTGCACGAAACGTATAATCACCCGTTCAGCGAGAACGCCCGGAAGAAAAATCGTAATTCCTGCGACTGAATAGGGACCAGATCGAAGACTTGGTCGCAAGAAATGATATTTCTGTTACCGTGACTGAGAATATTCGTGTGAACATTCAGTCGCGTAAAAGTAGTTGGCTCGTGAAAATGTTAAATCTGTTGGAATAGTAATAATTAACTCTTTCTGTCCGACTGATTCCAAAGACATCATATAGCCAAATTCCGTTCTTTGCCGACAGATCGCAGCAACTTTAAGTTTCCTCACTGTAACTCTTGCCGTGTATGTTTTAACTTGTTTGTTGATGTGCACATGGCATTGTGTCGTCGTGTTACGCTTAGAACAATAAAAAATAATAACAGATGCAAATTGAGGAATAATTGTGATGTTTTTCTATGTTTTCGCATTTTTACATACTGATAGATTTCTGAGGTAATTTAATGATTCTATCTAAAAAAATGCCTAACTATGAAGCACAAAGAGAAATATAATGCGTACAATATTTGCCAAATCTTTAAAGGTTAGCATATACATATAACATATATTTCAACCGTTATCAGAAATTGTATATTTATATACGTATTATCAATTTCTGAAAAACTAGATAGTTAACAATCTTGTAATTTTTTATATTTTTGAAAATCTCTTTTATCGTCTCATCGTTTTTCATTAAAACCATGAAAGTAATTTGATTGCTAGAATTAAAAACGTGATATCGGAGGCAGTTTTTGTACCTGTGATATATGTATGTAAATAATACTAATTTGGAGTTCAATTACTTCACCTTCGGTATAGTAAATCTTTTATATCTTCGGTATAATAGTAAATCTTTTTCTTAATTTTCTTAAATTTTACATATATGTACATTATGTTTGCGAATAATATGCTGTTAAAATTTAAAAAGATTCTTATAAAAAAAATAAATTTACGGACCAACTATCTAAAAACTTGGCTGAGATAGCTGAGAGCAATTAGCTAAGCAGAAACCTGCAGGAATCTTTCTACTCCTATAGTCGAGTTTTCATCTGGTCCCTAGAAAACGGAAAATTCAGTTAACCTAACGAAGTTATTTTTTTCGTACATACATAGTGCAGAAACGCGACGCAGAAAAAAAGAGAGAAAAAAAAGAGAGATTTCACATTTAGGTGATACAAATTATTGCGTCGAATATAAAAATACCAGTTGACTCTGTTTGTAGCAAAGAGTATTTTACTCTGGAGACCAATATTAGTTTGAGTTTGAGAGTAATCTGCAAAAAAACAGTATAGGTACAGATTCTGAAATTTTGAAATTTTAATGGCACAAATTACCGCATGAATGTAGAAGAATCGATTGATTCTGTTCATAACAAAAAGCACTTTACTCTTGAGTTTAATAGAGCTTAGTTCAGTAGAAAGTTGTTTCAACAAGAATATAATTTACTAAGTTATTTTTAACGGCACAAATCATCACAAATTCAGCCCTTTGCATTTATACTTCAATTTTTCTTTTTTCTTTTCGTTTTCTTGTTTGCGGATTAACTCAATATTAAGTGAGCAGCGCCATGTTATTCTTTCAAAATAGTACGGGATACAAAATTATTATAAGTTCAAATTAGTACAAATTAATACAAAATAGATAGTAAATAGTCTAACGAATTCGGTTGATTTTATTGATTTAGGTCTGCTAGTTTGAGAGAGAGGGAAGGGAGGGAGGAGATAGATAGATAGATAGATAGATAAATAGATAGATAGATAGAGAGAGAGAGAGAGAGAGAGAGAGAGACGTTTATGAGAATAAAATTAAATCAGTAACATCGATAATTTTTCATGATATTTCTTTCTCTAGGACGTGTTCACACGTGTAACAGTCATTGGGGTTTACCGGGTCAATAGGAGTTAAACGCGAGGGTCAATGTGGTCGCGGTAACAAGTTCGGTCCAAGATAATGCAGCATAGATAAGGGCGTGGAAAGACAAAAAGAAAGAGAGTGAAGTAGAAAGAGATTGAACTACAGAAAAAGGAAAATTATTAATTGGTCACTATTATATAATCCAACACAGACATTACATCAGTTATATGAGCGTATCCAGATAGACTAGAAGAACGAATAAATAAATAATTGATTTATTGCTATCTCTCAAGCGAATTCCGTCACGACGGAGTTATTTTCATTAGGTATCATTCTCTGAGCCATCATTTGCTAAGCTCCAGCTTTTTCTCTTTCGATGTGTCCTCCTCCTCCAAACTTCTACATACACATAAGTATGTATATTATACGTAATGTTTTCACATTTCGACAGTCCATATAAAAGCCTGTGTTATCCTTGCTGTAATTATTAAAACGTAGCGAGCCAGCATACATAAGCAGAGTTCCAACAAATTCCGATGTCGGCATTGAAATTCAAACACGCGGACAGGCACAAAGGTATTAGCAAATAATATGATACTAAAATAATAAAGAGAGGCGAGTGGGCGGGCGAGTGAAATGGAGGATGCTCGAAAGGAATTCACCCATGATTTACGATCGCCCGTAATAATCGCGATGAGAATTACGCAAGCATCAGCCAGGCGTGTCGCCCGCGCGCGCGGCAGCTTCGAGGCCGTAATTCTCAACCGGTTCGCGAGAGGCAGGACCCTCCAGCCCGGATGATGACGGTTATCATCACCAGCATCGACACACGATCGGGATTTTCGGGGAGGGAGCGCACGTTCTCGCAAGTGGGAGAACCGTTGCAATCCGCAACGACACTCGGCCGATTAATCCGCGAGCATGAGCGATCAAGTGATTTTGCTCGAAGGAACGAAAGTTATCTCCGCGAGAGCGCGAAGCCTCGAAGGAACCGATCAAAAATTCTCTTCGTCCCGGGTGAGTTTAAGCGTTCCACGGATATAACAGCACGCGAACGATGAGTCGAAATTTACGGCCGTGTCTTGGAATCAGATTCTCCGAGTCGCAAACTTAGCCCTAGTTCACTGCGTTTTAATTCCACAACACAGCAGGAACTGAGACAGCAAAATAGGTTTATTTCTGATAATGTAATTTGTTCTTTTTTTTTTCGAACACTTCTTAAATTTTCGTTCTTCTCGTTTTTAGCATAGTTAAAAATAATTAGGTAGATTGTTTTGAATACTTATATGAATTTAATAATAATAATAATATAGAGAGCATTTATAGCATCAAGGCAACGTTAAAATTAAATATTTAGAATTACAGGTTCAAGAGATAAGATAACAAGTATAATATTGTCAAAGGTTTCTACTAGCCTATATTCCATTTAAGTAGGCGCAAACTATTCTTAAAAGTGTCAAAGTAACATCCAGATTTTAACTCGATGTGTCTTCGAATCTGAATCCCCGAGTCGACGTTTTAGCATTATGTTGAATTTTTAATTCTATAACACAGTAGGAGCTGAGATAGCAAAATATGTTCTATTCTAATATGATTTCTCTTCTGATATGATTTCTTATTTTGACCATGATGATGTTTGAAATTTTCATTTCCACTGTTTTAGAATCAAAAGTTGTCTTAAATATTTATATGAATTTAATAATCGAAATATTGAGAGAATTTATAACTTCAAATTTATAACTTCAAGGTAGCATTAAAATTAAATCTTTAGAATTATAGGTTTAAAAGAGAAATTCGATCAAGTATCAAATACACTGTTGTCAAAATTTCGATTAACATCGATCTCAGTGAAAGTTCTTTTTTACAATTCAAAATATTTTGCTGTTTTTTTTTTTTTATAATCAAACGTGACTAAAAAATATTTAAATAATTCTATATATCTCGATGATATATTAAAAATTTAAATTGAAATAAAAATGTCAAAAATAAGCTGAAATTTTCGTTTTTTTTTTTAAAGAAGAAAGCTAATTAATTGATTAGAACTCACCCGTCGACGGAGCCGTGATCCCTTATGATAGCCGCCGCGATCTCTCTCTTGAGGCCGCCGTGGAACCAAGGCTGAAGAACGTGTATACCACCATCGAGGCCATGCAACCTCACCATGGCGCAGCCCGGTGGTGTTCGCGAGAACGGCCGCCATCTCCGTCGCCAGATTATGCCCTCGTTTTCGGCTATGTCCTTGGCTTCCTTCGGATCCTCGACTATCCTGCCCACACTGCCGGTGAAGTCCATCGCCACGCGTGATCGCACAGATTCCTGTAATATAAGGAAAAAAACTTCGTTTGTAAATTGTCAATCATCGATCACGTATCGTCGACAAATATATTCTCATTAGAATCTTGTTCAAGCGAAGTCTACTTAAAACCAACCGTAAAATAATATTCATCATAGTTTCATAGCTTTTAGTTTAATTTTTCGATTCGTCAATATCGAGTGGTGCCGTTTGTGTTCTGTTTAAGCAACAATAAGTTACAGACATCATGATTCGATCGACAGACTTTCCGGTCAGCTAAAGCAACACCAGCTAATACAAATTTCCGAAACCGACAAACGAAAACGAAGAAAGTGCCATGTATGTTCCAAAAACAAAAAAAGAAGGACAACAAATTTAATGTGTAAGTCTTGTGGAGTCGCGTTACACCTCGGAGATTGTTTTGCTTCATATCATCTAAAAGAGAAATACTAAGTACCCAATAAAATATTAATAAATAAATAAATATATAATACAAAAAAATGTTACATTTATTTACATATATCCTCGAAATTTCATGAAAATAGCGGGATAGGATTGAAAACTAATGAAAACTGACGATTTATGATCTCCCGAAAACCTCGAAAAACCGCCGGCGACAAGCGAAATGATCAGTCCTACCGGCGCCAAACAAAAGAATCCCGATTAGACGTGCGGACGGCATAGTGTTAAAAGAATCCGGTGTTGCGGTGATTGTGCGTCGGCATCCTTTGAGTACTGCTGACACGTGCCGAGGCGGCTTTTATAAAGAGTGTAGCTGAATGGACTAAAAGCAAAGCAAAATAAACCTTACCCCACTATGCTATGGTGTTTTGTTGTTTCAACTTGTCATTCGTTACAATAATTTTGATTGAATAACACTTGTCTCTTCTGCTTTCTTCCCAATGTATAATGTCAAGTAAAAGGATATAAAAGATAGTTCCGTTGCGAAAAAAAGTAGTGTTGCCACTTAAAATAAAAATAGAAATGCTTGACCGTTTACGCCTTGGCGAGTCGTTTGCATATCACGCTCTTTCAACGTAAATAAATCAACTGTACGATTCATCAAGAAATCCAAAGACAAAATAAGGAATTCTATAGCTTCAACCTCACTATCGGCAAAAATTGTTCGTGATCCAGCAATTGAAAAAATGGAAGCTGCGTTATCATTATGGATTGAAGACTGTAACCAGAAAAGAGTGCCTCTAAGTGGTCCTTTGATCCGCGACAAGGCAAAGCACATCTTTACGCACATTTTAAAAAACCTGGTGATGAATATACAGATAGAGAATTTCAAGCATCGGAAGGGTGGTTCAATAAATTCAAGGTGCGACAATCATTGCATAGCATTAAGGTTGTTGGAGAAGCTGCATCTGCAGACACCGCCGCAGCAGAAAAATATCCAGAAGAATTTTCAAACTTAATTACTGATGGTGGATACAAGCCTGAACAAATATTTGATGCTGACGAAACCGTTTTCTACTTTGAACAATCTTTTTGGACACTAAAACAGCGAAAATGTAAATTTAAGACATCGTCAAAGTCAAAGTAGGAGTAAATTATATTATTAGAATTGAAATTTTGAACCTATTTCGTTAGTTTAATTCTCCCATATTGTAGAATTACAGTTTGAACATAGGGTCAAAATTTCAACTTGGGCTCCGCTTCGAAGCATATTTTCGGCTCGTACATGTGGCCGTTGAATTTTCATTACCATCATCGGATGTGAATTCTCTCGAACGGCACGAATTCGTTCGACGAGAGTGACACGGCGGTGTCCCCCCCCATCCCTGCTGACGACCGTCGCTGAATCGTAACGCACACGGGTGGCTATTACATTATTGAGGTTAAAGGCTAATAAAGAAGATGATGATATATCAGATATCACATACATACATACAGGTCACGCGCGGCGTTACAGGAAATTAATAGCGGCGCGCACTATCGGGAAAACTTCCACATGCAAATTGATTTTTAAGCGGTGCGCGCCGAAAGAGAGCGCGAAAGCGAAGGGGATGGGAGAGCGTTTAGCGTAAAGCCCGACAGTACGAGCAGCCCGGACCAATCTAAGTCCAGCCACGTGTATATAATATTTTAAAGGTGTCCGACGAGCGAAGTTAACGCGCGGGCTCCCGTGTTCCGGACGAGTTTACTGCTTCCGGCCTAACTTGGTCGGTTCGAACACATAGAGGAAAAGTGGTGAGGAGACCAAGGTAAAAGGGGGAAGAAGGAAGGAGAGGAGGCTTTCCCGCACGGGCAGGCTTCCTCGTCGTGTTTTATCGTTATTACAAGCTCTTTCAAGATTTACAGGTGGATAACTCGTTCCTCCGTCCTTCTCCCTCGTCTCTTCCACCCCTCATTTGATCAACTTCCAACCCGCTTCACGAAACGTTAGCCGTCGGAAATGACGCGTCCAGGTTGCATGACCCCCGTCGCCACCGCCGCAATGTTTTCCTTTGTAAAGGAATGTTCGTTATGTCGCTTGTATATATGGAATATCGACGTCATCTGGGAGACGTAAAGATCATCACCGCATCGACGAGACGCGTTAAGAGCCACTTGCGTGACTAGATTTCGATATTGAACGCTCCTGGGGTAATCGGGAGAAAGAGAGAGAGAGAGAGGGAGAGAATTCAGTTTTCGCTGGAGTTCATTCGAGATTACGCGAACAAAAGTTATGTTAAAAAAGGTAATTTTTTACATAAAGGAATAAGTTATACATTTTGAAGAAATATATTTAAAAATTAAAAAGTGACAACTTCAAAATAAGGAAATTTTAAATTGATATATCCTATAACGTAATAAATATTAACTTGAACAAAAAAGTCTTTAAAAATGTAGTTATTAATTAATATATATTTATTAAAATATAACAAATATAAATGAAGTAAATATATTTAATAAAATTTCAAGTAAATTTTTCTCTCGCTGAAGACACTGTCAAGTATAAAAATGACGTTATAACCTTTTTGTGAATCCTTAAATCTATTAATATTTCAAATTTGATCTATTATCAGAAAATATGACTGGTTAGTTGGTTCTTTCACGCGCAGTGGTACCTCGAAATAGAGTTACGGCAGTATCAATTGGTTCCTCCATTTTATTTCCAAATAGTTCGGAGTCAATGAAAAATTGCCATGATCGTCAAGACTATCGACATATGAAGACAAAAAACAATAAGTATCCATGTTAGTAATGAAGACGCAAGTTTTACATAAAATTCTTTTTTCATTTTTCAATATAATCCCCTTAGGAAGATACACTTTTCCCAACGTTCCTATAATTTTTTTAATCCCTCTGAAAAATACGATTTATCGAACTCTGCAAAATAGGCCTCTGTTTCAACGATAGCCTCCTCATTCGACGTGAATCTCTTTCCACCGAGCCATTTTTTCAAGTTTGAAAACAGGAAGAAGTCGCAGGGGGCCAAATCCGGAGAGTACGGTGGATGCGGCAGCAATTCGTAGCGCAATTCGACCGATTTGGCTGTAACGGAGAAGTGAGCCAGTGCATTGTCGTGGTGGGACAACACTTATTTTCGTCAAATGGGGCCGTTTTTTTCTTCAATTCAACGTCGAATAGGCCCAATAAATCAGCATAGCATTGCCCTGTGATAGTTTTTCCTTTCTCCAAATGAAGATGATCACGTCTTGCGCATCCCAAAAACAATCACCTTTCCGGCCGATGGGACCGTCTTGGCCTTCTTCACAGTATGTTCGCCGGATGAAGTCCACTGTTCCTTGGTCTCTAGTGTTAATGATGGATCCATATTTCATCAATGGTTACAACTCGACGCAAAAACTCCTGCGGATTGTGCTTAAACAACTCCAAACACTATTTCGAAATTGATAACCGCATCCGCTTGTTGTCCACCGTGAGCAATCGTGGCACCCATCGGGCCAACAGCTTTTTCATTCCCAAGTTATCATGCAAAATATTGAATGCCGTTCCGTACGACTTGGCCTATGCTACTTCACGCACTTTCGTTCGGCGATCAGCGAGAATCATGTCGTAGACCTTTTCAACGATTTCCTCAGTAACCACGTCTGCCGGGCGGCCTGGGCGCTCCTCATCAAAAACAGATGAACAACCACGTTTGAATTCGTTGAACCAATATCTGACGGTTGTCATAGATGGTAAAGGGTTCCCACAGACGGCATCCAACTTCGTTTTTATTTCTTCGCACGTTTTTCCATCCAAAAATAAAAAGCGAATCACGGATCGATATTGCTCTTTTTCCATTGTATCAAAAACATCAAACACGGTCACTACGAATTGCTATCAAATTAAAACTATCGCATAGAATCACTCTGAAATTTTGTATGACGTCGTTTGAAAGATAGTACACGATGGTATTGCCAAACTGCATCAACAACGCCGCCTGTCTTCAAACAAGGATACTTATTGACATCGCGGAGGTATCCATCCATCTAATTTTCGACCGTTGCACAATATCTGGAAATACTTGGCTATACGAATCGCTAAGATATTTGAGCGCCTCACGATTTGACCGAATAAAGTTTAATAAATCGCATTTCCAACTGTGATTCGCTACACAAACGCAACGAAAACGAACCATTTTTTTCAAACGGATGATTTGGTCGATGAAAAATGGATCATATATAACGTAAAGTGTAAAAGGTCGTAGCATAAACAAGCATGAAACACCGTTAACTACTCCAAAGGCTGGTCTGCATCCAAAAAAGATCATGCTGTATATCTAGTGCGATTGGAAAGGTATTTCTTTTATCTCCTTCCACAACGCGACAGGCTTAATTCAGACAAATACTGTGCCAAATTAGACCGTTTGAAGGTAGCGATCGACGAACGAAAGCGTCCCAAATTGATCAGTCGGAAAGGTGCCATCTTCCACCAGGATACCAGATTTCGTATGTCTTTACAGACTCAGCAAAAAATTATTGCAGCTTGGATGGGATGTTCTACCGCACCCACCGTATTCACCCGACCTAACATTTTCTGATTACCGCTGATTTCGAAGCCTACAAAATTCCTTGAATGGTAAAAA